GAGAGAGAGAGAGAGAGAGAGAGAGAGAGAGAGAGAGATGCACACATCACACATGTTGTGGTTACTGTCCATGGTCCTGAACAATCACAAAATGCAAAGACTCTGCGTCTTCTGCATCAGGATGCCCCGTGGTTTTTATTGAATGTTCCTACTGCTCATAAGTTTTCTTTATCTTAATTTAATTATGCTGAAAAGTTTGTAATTTTTACACACACTGTCACACAAAGGAGACCCATGACCCATGCGTCACAATTTATAAAACATGGATTCAGGCTTCCTGGGTCTGAATCCCAGATGCACCAATTGCTGGAGGGATGCTGGGGAGCCATTTGGATGCTATGTACTTTAGTTTCTTCTTAAAGTGAGAAAAGAGTTGTAAGTAACCCGCAGGAATGCTTTGATGATCAAATGATAAAACACATACAGAGGGCTTTGAGAGGTGTCATGTGTAAGAAAAAAAATTCAACAGTACTTTCCAAAAGTAGTAAGAGTATCAGTTTTGAATGGATGATTTATGTAATTTTAGAAGACCTGTTGTGCTTTTATAGGAAACTTCCTTGTCTTCAAGAAATCAAGGAAACATGCTCCTTCTTCATTTGCAATAACCAGGGTCAACCCAGGGAAACAGAAACCATACTTACTATGTTAGCAGAGAACATAGTGAATAAATTTGTGAAACAGATACTGAAGAAGACATAAAGCTAAAAGGGAATAACATAGTAACTCAGAGACAATATGGCAGGAAGCAGCTACTAAGCCTTTGGTTTGTATCAACAAAGAGGTTGTTAGCTTCATAATATCAAAGCCTGCAAGGTTGCAAAAGAGTGCCTCCCGTGCTGTGACTCCATGATGCTACTGATGCATCAGAAGAAACTAATGAATAGCAAAAACTTAGTAAATTATCCCTCTAGTTGACCAAGAAAGAAGGGCTTCATATACATGGCTTCATACACCATCTCCTCTTTGCTCTGCAATGTTTTTTGCAGTATCCCTATTTTACATGAGAAAATAGTTAAGAAAAATTACTAAAACCTGGAAAAAGGCAAAGAATGTTGAGTATCCTTTAATATCATATTGGATCAAGATCTAGTAGATATTCCTGAACAGAATTCCCAATTGTCTAAGAGAATGTGACTTTGCTTAATTTAAGTATTTATTATTAATTGGGAAAAAGATTGTGCAAATTTGTATCTTAGCTTGATATAGATTATTAAGGTGCAGACAACTTTGTTCAATAGAGATGGAAATTATTTCTATCTAGTAGAAAAGGTAGCCCTCAAATTAACAATTTTGTGGCCCTGTATGGCATTCATCAGTTTTATCAGGATTTTCCTGCAACATTCCTTTCCTGTTAAACTTAATATTTGTTCCTACATGTCTTGTATAAGTATCTTTTCTGGTCTGCTCCTGAAACAGCTCTATCACCTTGCAGGTTCATTCCTTTGTTGAGTTAAATAAGGCTTTTATATTCATTTATGCTACACTTACATGAGAATCATATTTTTAAAAATCACATTTTGACAAGAAATTGAATCAGAGAGGTACTTCATTTAGCCAAAGTCACACAGTTAAAAAAGAGTAGGGTCAGATTCCCATTTGAGTTCAGCTAACCCCAAAGTCCACATTATGACCTCTTGGTGTCTACTCCAAAAGGTTGTTTCATAAGAAAACTAGACAAGGAATTACTGCCAAGTTCCTGTTGATGTTTGAGAAGATTGAGAATCTGTTGGTGTGATAAGCCAGTTTAAAATATGCAGGATAGATTTATAGACTGAGATAGATCAGAAAAGGTCAAGGGCTTATGGAAAGCAGGGAAGATCATGAAAATGGTAATGAGAGTCTGAAAAGGACGGTAGCGATGTTGACACAGATGAATTTAAGACAAACACCAGGTTCCAAAAAGTTTGAGACCTGGGCTGATATCAGTGGCCATGCAACCCCCTCCCTTCCCTCCTTCCTCAGCCCTCACCCTCTTGGGCTAGGTTACGCTGGCAGGAGATGCTGGGCTGCTCAACCAGGCTCTCTGTGAATTCTGAAGGCACTGCATGCAAACTCCAGAGGAAAGGTGCTACTTGGGAATAAAGAGAATTATAATTAGCCAACAGCTATGCAGGGAGATAAAGCAAAGTACAGCTTCCATGTCAATCTTTTGGTGCCCAGCATTTAGCCTTCAGTCAACTTTACAAATATTGGAAGGGAGCAAGCTGTGGGAGGGAAGGGGAAGAAACCACTCTGGAAAGGAATCTCAGCTCAACCTGTGCACTCTTGTTCAGTCAACATCTTTATCATGCTCCTCTGTGAAGCACTGTTTCAACTCTGGAAATACACCAGGAACAAGGTCTATGCACTCCTGGGGCTCAGAGTTAGTGGGAGAGACAACGAAATGTTGAACTCATGCATTCATGCACCACATAATGATGTTTTGGACAGTGACCGACTACGTATATGACAGTGGTCCCACAAGAGTATAATGGAGCTGAAAGATTCCCATCTTCTAGAGATGTTGTAATGTCACAGGACAAGGCATTTCTCATGTATTTGGGATCTTGCTGGTGTAAACAAGTCTTCTGTTGCTGCCTGTTGTATAAAAGTAGAGCAATGCAATTGTGAGGATAAGCCACCATGTTGCTGGTTTATGTACTTATTATACTATTCTTTTCACCATTATTCTAAAGAATACTCCTATTTATAAAAAGAGCTCACTGTAAAACAGTCTACTGTTACACCAGTAGCAGTTTTATACATTTCATGTTTATCAGTCTCTTTTTTATTGGTGCATAATAGTTATACAGTATGAGTTTCATTGTGGCATATTTACACATGCAAATATGTGACATCATTTGATCAATTTCAATCCTCTGTACCTCTCCTTGCCTTCCCTCCAACTAATCTCTTTTATCTACCCTACTGATCTCCCTTCTATATTCATGAGATCTCTTTTTTCTCTCTCTAGCTTCCACATATGAGAGAAAACACATGGTCCTTGACTCTCTAGAGTTTGCTTGTTTCAATTAACGTGATGTTCTCTGGTTCTATCAGTTTTCCTGCAAATAATAACATTATTCCCCTCTATGGCTGAATAAAACTTTATCATGTATATATATTTTCTTTATCCATCCATCTGGACAGACACCTGGCTGGTCCCATGACTTGGCTTTTGTGAACTGTGCAACTATAAACATGAATATGCAGATATCCCTAGAGTATGCTGACATTAATTCTTTTGGGTAAATACTTAAGAGTTACCAGACTCTCAATAGCATCTTGTCCAGTGATTGGCCTGCACCATATAGGTTTGTGTAAGCACACTCTAGATGCTCACAAAGTGGCTAAAATGCCTAGCAATGCATTTCTCAGAACAAATTACTGATATTAAGGGGCACGTGACAATAATACAATTTCAAAAAACAATTTGTGCCATGAACAAAACAGAGCAGCATAAAGGGTAGAGTTAGTTGGTCTGGGGAGCTATTCTTGAGCAGTCAAGAAAGGCCTTTATGAGGAACTGCATGATGTAAAGGAGAAAACTATTTGAAAACATAAGTCAGAAGAACCCTCAGACACACCAAGCTTCCCCCATGATCACACCAGGGGATCCTTGTCTGTTTATATGTCCTTGTGACATCAATGTCCCAGGCTTGGAGGAATGGAGGAATGGGCAGTGAACAGATGCAGTTCAATAGGGAAGTACTGAGCTCCAATCCCCAAATCGGTCAGTGTGGTTCTAACTCCAAATACAGCGGGAGCTTCAAGGAGGGAGAGCAGGTCCCAGGAGATGATCTGGGATGGCAGGTGCAGCTGCCCAGCTAGGCTCAGGATAAAGACAGTGTCCTCTCTGCCATTAGCTTTTTTGTTCTCCAACCCTGCTCTCCCTCCCTCAGGATTCCTGTCCCCTCCCTGATGCTCACCTACCACCCAGAAAATCATGGAAGTGGTGTGGGCACCCTGGGCATTGGTGGCCACTCAGGAGTAGTTGCCAGCACCTTGAAAGCCTACATCATCCAGGTTGAGGGTCAGGACTTTGTGATAATGGTTAACATGGAAGTCGGATTGTTGAGCAATTGTGAGCTGTAGCCAGAAGGAATGGGGATGACATACTGGAGTAGTTAAGGGATTAGAAAGCTCTGAGTTCAAATCCTCAGCCTTTAAGAGTGCTAATTGCCTGTCCTTGTCAAGGGACTAAACCCTAGGCCTCAGTGTAGTCGTCTATAAAATGGGACTAATACTGGCCCCCAGCCCCTAGGGCTGTAATAAGGGGTGAATGAGATTCGCCATGCAGAGGGCATAAGGCTATACCTGGCCCACTGTATGTGGGGGTGAGGAGAGGGGTCCTAAAAGCAGCTTCCTGTCATTTCCTCCCTGGAATACTCCCTCCTTTGCCCTCTCTCCCAGTGTCTTTCTGAAATAGCCCTTATATCCCTGGGTTTTGAAGGTAGCCTAGGAATGCCTTACTAGGTCAGAAGGGAGCTCACATCTACAGAAAAGGTCATGGGTCAAGGGACCAGCAAGGGACCAGAGTACCTCTTCCCCCCACAGCAACAGGAGCCTGGTCCTGGTTCTGGATCAGCTACTGACTAGTGATGAGATCTTGGTGAGTCCTCTCCCTTCTCTGGGCCTAGGCTGTGTCCTCAGCCCAGAGAGCCAGTTTAGGATGAGGCTGGAGGCTCTGCCCTACAGGGCAAGGTGTACTGAAAGGATGAGCAGACTTCCCCTTGCCATTTCCCCAGAAGCTGACCTTGGTGTATCCATGTTTGAGGAAGATGTCAAAGTCTAAGTCGATGTTGCTGGATGAGCTTACAATCTGGGCAGGCTCCCCTCAAATCAGCACCAGCTCTGCCACCTCCAGTGTCAAGATTGGGGGACCTGGGGAGATCAGAGCTAGAGACAAGACCCTTTAACACCTAGGGATGAGCTGTCACCCTGTTCTCTGCTGTGGTCCAGACTACTGACCAAGGTCCCCACCATTCTCCTGTCCTGAACCCTGGAAGGCAGCCTCTATGCCTCAGTTCTCCCCCAGCAAATCCTGTCTCCTAAAGAGACCTTGGAAAGTTCCCTCTCTCCATCACCACCACCCATCGGAGTCCTACTACCATCCCGTGCTCCAGACTTTTGCAACAACCATCTAAAAGGCCTCCCAGCCTCCCCTCTGCCCCCTCTACAGCCTACACTCCTTCCAGTAGCCAAAGTGACCCCTCTGAAAAATAGAAACTGGACCATGCTTCTCTCCTGGGTAAACATTCAGTGGCTTCTCATCACTCTCAATGAAAGCCAAAGTCCACCGCACACCCTGACCTGTGTCAGGTCACTGTACCATAATCAATGGGGCCTTCTTCCTCCCCAAGGACCTGGCTCTCGCCACTCTCTCCTGAAGTCCTTTTCCTCCTGTGTGGTAAAGGGTGGCTGTTCTCAGCCTTCAGATCTCTGTTTGGTTAGGACATTCCTTAGAGAGGCCTCCCGTGACCAGTGTAGAAAAATTAGGCTTTCCACCAGGGCCCACCTGGCTTCCCCAGCTGTTTTTCTTGGTTTATCATTCATCACAATTTCTATCTGCTGCCTTTCTAGTCTGACTCTCCAGGGCAATGTCTAGTCCACACAGGGACATCCCCATAGCCAGCACAGCACCTGACACACAACAGGCATGGAATCAATCCTTGTGCCTGTGGCTGTGGTTGAAAGATACTCTGGGCCGGTTTTCCAAGATCCAGAGATACTCAGGATGCAAGAAGATATCCTCTGAGAGGCTCCCCCACTCTCCATGCTCTCTCCTAGCTGTTTGGTGTTTGTCTAGCATCTCGTGGTGGGAAATGATTCTGCTCATTGTTGGTTACCTATGGTGGTTCTCACTCCCATCTGACACACCTGGCCTCCATGGATGACTGTGGACTAGTTGGAAGGGAGAAGTGGCAGAACTGGTTACTTACCCACCCTCCATGCCTGGCCAGTCCCCTCCTAACCCACTCACCTTTCTGAACTTTGAGCTGGATCCCCTATCGTGCCATCCATTAATAGACATAAATCGTACTGAATATGTGCAAGATCTGCATATAAGGTACAAAACATTGAGAAAAGAAATTGAAGAACTAAATAAATAATAGTAAGCACCATGTTCATTGATTTTGGAAGGCTTGATATTGTTAAGCATGTCAATTCTCTGAACATTGATCTACAGATTCAACAAAAATTCCAGTCAGAATTCCTGCAGAAAGTAAAAATTTTGTGTACTAGTATTTCACAAGTTCATTCTTTTTAGAAACATGGAAGAACAAGAATAGCCAAAACAATTTTAGAAGGGAAGAACAAATTTGAAAGACTGATACTATTGGGTTACAGATTCCTAGGAAGTTGCTGAATGCTACTGGAGAAAAGATACACATGTTTAGCAACAGAGCAGAATACAGCCCAGGAATAGACCCACATGTATGTGCTTAATTGACTCTTGCTAGAGATGTAAAGAGAATCCAATAAAAACAAGATAGCCTGTCCCCCCCCCCCACAAAAAGCACGTGGGAACAATTGACTATCAATATATAAAAAATTCAACAAGCATGAAAATACTTGATCTATACATTAAATTCTATTCAAAAATTATCTCTAAGTGGATTCAGGACCTAAAACGTAAAATTATACAACTATTATAAGAAATAGAGAACATCTTTGTTACCTTGTGACCTTGAGGGTTAGAGTAGGAGTTCTTAAACGACATTAAAGAAGATCCTTATAGTTCTGCCTACTGATCATCATGTGAGCCACTTCCCTCTTCTTCCACCTGATGTCCTGCCTTGCCTCAAGTCCCAAGGAATGGAGTCAGCTGACCACAAACTGAGACCTCTGAAACTGGCTTCTAATGAGAAATCATATGAGAAATGTATGGGAAAATTAATTTAAACCCTACCTCTCTCTCAACATCATAGATGTTAAAAATGTGCTATACAATGTAATAGGGGAACAGAGAATTTTGGTATAGTATCACTATGTGAATGAGGTGCTTCCATCCTTTTGACACCAATTATTTGGGAAAAAAAGGAATTGATTAGCTCAAGTGTAGGTATGAAGAGATCATCCAAAGACCAACGATATTAAAAATTTTTTAGATTTTAAAAGACAAGTCTATTGGCTTACTGAACAAATTTTAATTTTTAATCAAGTATATATCAGTCTCCATATCCCATTGAAGCCAAAAATGTCAATATAAATAAAATCACATGCCATGAAGATAAGTTACAAAATTTAAAAGAACTGAAATTAAACTCAGCGTGTTCTTTTACCACAAAGAACTCAAACTAGAAAACACTGAGAAAAAAAGAAAATCTCCAAAACCTAGGAAAATAAACACATTTCAAAATGATCTATGGGTCAAGGAATTTGAAAGGGAAATAAAATAGACACTGAACCTAGGGAAAAACAACATGTGAAAGTTTGTAGAATACATCTAAGCAGGACTTGGAAATTGAGAACATTAAAAACACATTAGAAATGAGGAATAGGTACAAATTAACACTAATTTTTACCCAAAAATTAGTTTGTGAAATCTTGGGTGCTGTGGAGGTGAGTGGTTGAGGAGCAAATAAACCAAAATCAAGCAGAAGAAAGAATGAATGAATATCAGCAGAGATTAACTATCTTAAAAATAGAGACAATGGAAGAAGTCAATGAGACAAAGAGCTGTTTGCTTCAAATGATAAAAAAGTTCACAAATTTGTAATAAAATTGATGAAGAAAAGAATAGGCAAATTTTCAACATCAAATATTAAATGAAATATTAATTACAACAAACCCTGAAGACATAAATAGCATAATAAAGAAATAGTGTTGCTGTCCTTAGGTACCTGTTCTGCCCCCAATGGCTCAGTATTGGCAGCTTGGTCTCAGTTTGGTGATGCAGGCCAGTA